AGGCCAGGCCGACAAGTCAAAGTGTTTGAGTCCGTTGGGCCACCAAAATGGGTGAAGCGTTGGGGTGCCAAAACGATAACAAAACGATAACAAGAATACACGACGAAGTCCTCGGGAAGACCATGTCCCACATGTACAAATGCAAAATTTTAAGAAATGCCTTCAAAACTCTTCAAACATCAAGGGAAGACAAGAACTGAAGGAATTTGACCAGCAAACTATCTAAAACGTTGAAATTGACTATAGCTACTTTTTGTACACTGTTTCCCCTTAACGGGGAGAGACCGCGGTGACAATGGGAGGAATCCCGCAACCCATCTAGTTCCTTCCGGCCGCGGTGGCCCGGTGAACCTTTTCAGATCTCTCAGTGTAAGGTTCACCGTGGCCAGAGGCATTCTATTTTGCGCGTGACATACATACTCGACTGATGCACAAAGATGCACAGCTACACACAAGAAATCAAAACCAGTGAATGACAGCGCAGGCGCCAGACTATTAATGTGGAAGAGCGCCTTGTGTTTCTCACTAGGAGCAGGCTAGGACTTGCGCATCCCAATCAGAAAAGGTTGGTAGGGTGAAAGTCTGGGAGGGCTGGTTGGTGGGCATGTGAATTGGAGAACTAGAGACGACTCCAATTCCTAAAAACCTAAAAAAGCAGGTGTAAATTACGTCGAACACCAGAGCATGTGGCGTGCTTGTGGTCAGTGCTCCTGCAACTCAATAACAAGGAAAGAGCTTGACAGCAGTGGACCACTGCAATCATTGGAAAGCAAAATCCACCCAAAGCGATGTGCCACATACTCTCACATACTGCTCACATAATAGTACGCGCGCGCACGCACACACAACAGACCCCGACTTTTTTGCAGTGGAGGCAGGGACATGTGTGGTTGGCTGGGAAACGATAAGGGACTGTACACTGATCTCCAAACATTGAAAAACGAGAAAGAGTTCAGAACAATAAGGCTTTAAGTTGTTATACGAAATATAGAAGCTTTTTGAATATACCACTTGGTGAAAACAAATTGGCGACTTAAGTTCAATCATCAAGTCTGAGCTTGAATGCTGTCAACGGATCCAGAATGGTGAATCGTTCGGGCTTCTGGCTTCTGTGGCTTTTGGCTTTCGTGGCTTTCTACTGTAGGGAGGGCCATCTAATTTAGGAACGTTGTTGTTCCCGAATGCGTAGCGAAGGGTTCTCGTTTAACTCTGGGGGTCTGGGGGTAGAGCCTTGTTCGCAACCCGTTGTTTCTATGTTCGCAACCGTCCGCAGGTGTTCGCGGTAGAGCGCTAATGCTAAGGCGCTGCCATTGGGGGAAGCTTTTGCAAGTGACTTTTCATAGATGTGGCGCGTGTCAGTTTGCACCGCTATTACATTGTGATTTGCATGAATATGAGATGTCGCGCAAGAAACGTGATGCATTTGGCGCAGTGGTTTGTGAGATCTGCAGTTTGCTGCGCAGTTCCATTGGGATTGGCGTTTGGAGAGTCGTGTTTTTGGGGTGCTGGATGTGGCCGTGCCATTGGGATTTGCGATTCAGGGTGTGGCGTCGAAGCTCTGTTTTCGTGACCAGTCTCAGTTGAAATGGCGATTTTGGTGGATGGGAGTGCGCTCAGAACGGGTCGAAATCATTCCAAACGTGTGGTGCGGTGCAAATTTTGTTGAAGCTGACATGAGATGATATTGTCACTTTTCGTGGCAGGCGCAGTACTTTGTGTGGGTTTTGAGGCGTGGAAGTGCGATTCTCGTGGCAGGCGCAGGGAATGGTGAGGCTGCGAGGTGTGACGGAGGTGACATTTCGTGGCAGGCGCAGTACTTTGTGCGCGTTAGACGTGTGGATGCGGAAAGATTCGTGGCAGGCGCAGGGAGTTGTGAGGTCGTGAGTTGTGGTAGAGGTGAATGTCGCTGTCACAGTGGGATTGGCGTGTGGACGGGTGTTGTTTGGAGGGGCTGGACTCGCGAAACTGCTTGGCAGGGCTGCGTGATGTGTGTGCTCCGATGGGTGTTTCCGCTTGGCTTTTGGAGGAAGTCTCGTACGAAATGCTCGCCTTGCAGACTTTGACATGTGAGTTTTGGAGGAAGTCTCGTACGAAACGCTCGTTTTGGAGACTTGACACGTGACATTTGGAGGAAGTCTCGTACGAAACGAGACTTGACGTGTGACCTTTGGAGGGAGTCTCGTACGAAACGCTCGTTTTGGAGACTTGACACGTGACTTTTGGAGGAAGTCTCGCACGAAACGCTCGTTTTGGAGACTTGACATGTGACTTTTGGGGGAAGTCTCGTACGAAACGCTCGCTTTGGAGACTTGACGCGTGACTTTTGGAGGAAGTCTACAAGAGTGTCCCACAAGAGTGTCCTACAAGAGTGTCCCACAAGAGTGTCCTACAAGAGTATCCCACAAGAGTTTCGCACAAGAGTGTCCCACAAGAGTGTCCCTTAAGAGTGTCCCGCAAGAGTGTCCCATAAGAGTGTCCCACAAGAGTGTCCTACAAGAGTGTCCCACAAGAGTTTCCTACAAGAGTGTCCCACAAGAGTGTCCCGAATGAGTGTCCCACAAGAGTTTCCTACAAGAGTGGCCCACAAGAGTGTCCCACAAGAGTGTCTCACAAGAGTGTCCTATAAGAGTGTCCCACAAGAGTGTCCTACAAGAGTGTCCTACAAGAGTGTCTCACAGAGTGTCCGACAAGAGTTTCCCATAAGAGTGACCACAAGAGTGTCCTACAAGAGTGTGCGACAAGAGTGTCCCGTATGAGTGTCCCGCAAGAGTGTCATAGTAGAGGGCCCCACAAGAGTGTCCCACAAGAGTGTCCCAGAAGACTGTCCCACAGGAGTGTCCCACAAGAGTGTCCCGTAAGAGTGTCCCGCAAGAGTTTCCTACAAGAGTGACCCACAAGAGGGTCCCACAAGAGTGTCCTACAAGAGCGTCATTTGTAGCTTTTCGAAAGTGTCTGCATTCGGGTTCGTGGGCTCCATCTTGTTCTTTTTTAGTTTTTTTGTTTCTTGTGGCTTTCGCTTTTGTGGCTTCCGTGGCTTTTGTGGCTTCCGTGGCTAGCGTGGCTTCCGTGGCTTTTGTGGCTTTTGGCTTTGGTGGCTTTCGTGGCTTCTGTGGCTTTTGTGGCGCTTGGCTTTCGTTGCTTTCGTGGCTTCTAGCTGTTTGCTACTAGTCCATCTTTGGAGGAATGTGAAGTCCGAGGCACAGCTACGAGATGTAAGACGGTCTTGCTTCCATCCAGACGATTCCTTTGGTGGCTTTTCGCTTTTGGTTGCTTTTTTACTGCGCCTACCACGAAATCTACACTTCGGGGTCCACAAAGTACTGTGCCTGCTACGAAATTTGCACTTCAAGGCCCACAAAGTACTGCGCCTGCTACGAGATCTGCACTTCAAGGTCCACAAAGTACTGAGCCTGCCACAAAATTTCAACTTCAAAGGCCGCACAGTACTGCGCCTGCCACGAAATCTGCACTTCAAGGTCCAAAGTATTGCACTAAACGACAAACAAAACACAAAAAAGAAACGAACAAAATCCAATCCGCAGCCGTTGTCGGCAGCCACCTCTCAGCAATCTTGAGCAGTCAGCTAATCAGGGAGAAGTCACGAAAGACAAGTGATCACAGACACTCCCCCCTTAAGGGTCTATGTTCAACGCGCCCCGTGGGGACCACAGGCTAGACCTCAGTGGGACCCGGTTGCGGAACACACTTGGATCCATGCTTGCAAGAGCTAAATCAGTTTGGAAAGTCCCGAGAGCTAGTTACTGATTACATTTGACCTTGACTCACAGCTTGCTCAACAGTTGAAAACGGGCAAAGCTTAAAGTTGCTTGGGATAATGTTAGAGTTAGAGGGTTGTAAGACCATGTGACGGTGTTAAAATAGAAGGTTCCAGGGTCGAAAAAGCATGTGCAAGGACTAAAAAAGAATGGTTTAGGGCTTGAAAAAGTATGTTGCAGGGTTGAAAAAGGTTAGGGTCGAAAAACATGTGTTTTAGGGTTAAAAAATAAGTTGCCCATATATAGAAGTAAACATGGTTTGGGAGGGAAGTTTGACCCTGGTGTCACATGTCGCTAAGCAGGCTTGGATGAGAGGCTAGAGTTTCTGAACGCCGCGTTTCTTTTGCCTTAGTTTCGCTGTGACACAGATTGTTTGTTTGCCCAGTCAGTTGATTGTGCTTGCCTGGCTTGCCCTTTGTTCCACGATGGCAATAGGGCAGATGCAGCCGCATCTACGTTCAGAAAGGTTTTCATTGACAAATGTGTGCCGAATGTTCAGCTAGAATGTGCCCAGTGCAGTTCGAACGGTGCGTATGCAAAGCTGCCCGCAAGTTTCACTTCGCGGGCAGAATGCTTGTGCTGAAGTGCTTTTGAAGTTGAAGAGAAGTGCTAGAGGATTTGAAGCAGGGCCTTGATTTTGTTTTGAGATTGAGCTAGCAGCTAGCAACTCTAGCATCAAGCACTCCTCAGATACGAAGCTTCAAGTAGCCTGACAAAGGTCGACTGCTCTCAGGCAACTGGTTTCAAAAGTTTGCGTCTTTGATTTGGGGCCTATGGATTCAACAAGCTGTGGTCGATGCGGCGAAGAAAGCGCGAACAACATTCTTCTCGCCACACCCGTGTTACAACGTTCATTCCATATTTTTGAAGATTGGGAATTAGCCAAGATCTGATGATTGGTCGAAGAAAAGTTCCCTTCATCCGGACAAAGTTCGGGACTTGGAAAGTACTTCATAAATGGCTTTACAATTGGGCGGCCCTAAAACTGCTAGTAAAGTGGACAAGGTCTATACTAACATTCCCTGGATCTTGAACTTGAAAACTAAAGAACTCTCAAGCAGATTCTCACAGCATCGCTAGCCTGATTAGGTTTGTACCTACAAGCTTGCAAGCTGCACTTTCACACACACACAATTCAACCCTCTAGTTTCGACTCCAGTTTGACTTTTCTGTTTGTGCTGTCATTCGCTGTGGCAATGGCTTCCATCCTCCCCAGTCTTGGATATGCGGAGGCTTGAACATGCTGCTGTGTGTTCTTTCAGAGCAGATTTGCTGGGGGAGCTCTTACATTGCGAACAGTCTTTGAATCTCTGTTTCCAGTCGAGATAAACAAGACACCACAAGACTCCTGAGAAGTGCAGGTTGCCATACAACAAGGCTGGATAGCCACAGCATCAGCAGTTTGACCTTCGCTTCTCATGACTTTGATTGAGGTTTTGCGCCAAGCTCCTTTCCATTCGGTAGGCCCACCAGATGTAGTATCTTGATGTAAGATGTCTTGGCATGCTAGAGCATGCCTAAAACCAATTAAAAAAGTCTCTTTCATTCTCAGGGGTGCTTTCTGCCGGGGTCACGAGAGAAGAGATCTTCGTGAAACACAGAGATCGACACTGTGCACACTCTGCACTTTTGCTGGGAAGCTCAAAGCGGGACACAAGACGCTCAACACAAGCCTTCCTTTCAAAAGAAAGATCTCAAAGGTGCTTCAATAGGTTTAAAGGTTCAGACAAATCCAAAGGTCTAAAGTCCACAGGCTAACAAACTAGAAAGACATTTGAAGAAGTTGTTCTTTCTTAAAGCCTAAGTACATCAGGGAAGGTGTTTAAGACGTGAAGAGGTTTTAGTCTTTGCGCAAGGTGGCAGCCTGCCGCTGGCGAGCTCAGGCTCGGCACTCTTTAGGAACCTAAAAACGTGTTTAAGGAGTCGTTAGCGACCCCTTAGTTTTCTACCCTGTTTTACCTTGGTGCGAACCCCTTAGTAAGAAACACACCAGTCCTCCTTTGAAAAGATTTGCATTGGTTTTGAGGCTCGGAAAGCTGGCAGCGCCAGTGGCTCTTCACCGCTCAACCTGGGGAAAAGTCGTCCAAAGGTCCCGCTGGGCAGTAAAGCAGTCGCCTAGCAGAAAGAGTCAACGAACGCACTCCGCTTCTCTTTCGTTCTTCCGACTGTGTAAGAATACGTGAAAACGTGTTTGAAGCGCAACAGTCCAGGAGAAGATTGACTCTGGCAGCTGGGTGCTGCCGAGCGTGGACAAAGACAGACTCAGAAACATATGCAGAACGGAGCATAGACAAACTAAGACAGACTCTTTCCTCTGTGCTTAAATCAAATCAAGAGCGCATCGCATTTGTCCAAGATATCGAACTGGTGCAGGATGTGGATGAGTACTTCGCTGGACGAGCGCCTACCTATGCCTGGGCCACGAACTTGGAAACGGCTTCACATTTCTTATTTTCAACATCATCAGAGGCAACTTGAACAACTCAACGCTTCTGCAGTGTGTGTTTTTAGCATTCTTTAAATGACGATTTTTGTTCGTGCATAAATGGTAATGTCTTGGTGGCAGACTTTTGAGGTGCAGACCAGTGAAACCCTGTACGTCTTTGCTCCACTGGAGGCAAAACGACAGCAAGGAGGCTTTATGGGGCTCGATAGGGTCATGAAATGTCATGAAGATACGGTCCATACAGTGGATGCAACACAGAAACACTTGTGTCGTTGCAGAGCGCACGCTTTTTTCTTGTTTGTACGTTCAGGAGTACCTTCAACCTTGATGTTTGTGGCAGTTGTTAACCAAAAGGGGTCACTTCGAGGGTCACTCCAGCCGAGGCTGCCCACGGAGAGGAACTTGATGCTCCGAATGTCAGCCTCGGATTGAACATGTCACAGTGATGAAACGTAGTGAATTGCAAGACGACATTGTTTTTGTCAAACATCATGACGAGGACTAGTGTGTTTTCTTTTCGTCCAGGTGACATTAGACCTCCAGCAGGAAGGCACCATCATCAGGCCACTTGACCTTCCAAGTGGGCGGCGCTCGCAGAGAGGGCTCAGCATGGCTTGGCCAGGCTTATCGTGGGAGGGCAAACAATTCTCAATGGACGTTTGGCGCATCAGATCAAACCTGGCGAGCAGATTTGGATGGTTGAGGAGCATAAACACGCACAGACCATTCCAAGGTTTCAGTACGTGTCGAAAAAGCATGTCTAGTCTAGGAAGCCTCAGACGGCAAAGACTTTGTTGTGTGCGAGCTCGACAAGCTGCCACACTCCAAGCCGGCTTGTTTTGTGAAGCTGTTAGCTAAGCAGCGTTGTTTGTTTGCTCACGTTTGTTGACATGTCCAAGCAAACTCTGAACTGGATGTTCACAAGGACACCTGGCGTCAACTGGGCATCAGTGATGGAACCTGAGGCATAGTCGGAGTCGAATTTGACTACTGGCTACGGTCTCTCCCAACTTCTTTCTACTGACTCGCTGCCTGCTTCCCTACCTTAACAGGTAAGCTTGGGAGGTCTTTTTTGTTTCCACTGGGGTTTTGACAGCTAGAATCAGCCGTGTTTTCCCCCAAACAGCGAGGGCTATTGGGGTTCTTGCTTCAAGAAAAGGAGTTGCCTGTGTGCGCTATAGAGCCCGGGTGCTGGTGCTGCTGCAGGGTGGCCAGTGTACGCTTTGGAGGGTGCCGCTCCCAGATGTGTGGCCGTGTGCGCTTTGAAGCCTGGGTGCTGCTGCTGCTGCTGCTGCTGCTGCTGCTGCAGGGTGCTGCAGAGTGCCGCGACAAGGTGCTTCAGCGAGAAGTTTATGGCCGTGTGCGTTTTGGACCGTTGCTATAGCTGCTGCCGCCAGTGCTGGCCAACAAATTCTTTTGCTATTTGGGGTCTATGCTGGCGTCATTGTAGTGCACACAAGGCCTAATCAAACCCCATGGGGCCGTGCAAGATCATGCTTTGCCCACCCTTTCCTTCTGTTTTTGAAAGGGCCCTTCGCCGCCCTTCGCACTGCAAACTGTCAACCTGACCAGCCAGTAGAAGAAGGCTACCATGGAAGATTGAAAGGAATAGGCAAAGTAAAGGCAAGGCCATCGAGGGAAGTCGAAAAAGAGAAAGGAAAGAGGGCATCCAAACTTACAGGGGCGCTAAGGATTTCGGATTTGCAGGGGCGCTGTGTCGAAAAAGGCAAACCGTTAGAATCATCACTCATAGAAGCTCTCTTTGATTTCTTGGGGTCCAGAATGTACCCTTCTTCCTTTAGCTGGTAACCTTTCATAGCTTCAGAGCCTAGCGCACCTATCTTGGTGGCTTGGCCTTTCTCCTTCCAGATCATCTTTCCTCCAACGCAGAAACAAATTCACTTCCAAGAGAAGCAAGGTGAACGCTTCCAAGATGCAGAAGGAATGGGACGAGTTCTTGCATTTTGGAGCTTTCGTCGTGGTTGACGGTCCTGAAAAGGAAGCATTGCTTCAACAGGGACATGTCGTGTTACCCAGTAAGTAGGTTGATGTAGACAAGAACGAATTCATGAAGAGTTCGCCAGATTATCAAGCTAAGTAGAAGAGCAGAGTGGTGTCGTGTGCCAATGTTGAGCAGACTGAAGGAGTCCACAGGTGAGAGTGATCTTCATATGATCATCACCGCGTGGGCATCAGTTCTAGGAAGCAAATTGAAATCCGCAGACGTCAGCAATGCGTACTTTCAGTCAGGGCCTCTCGACCGTGTTCTTTTTTGAGTCAACCCCGTGGTGGTTTACCCAACGTGAACGCTGATGACGGACAGTGGACGAAGTTTCTGGTTGAAGCTTGTGTCGGACGCCAAAAGGCAGGACTGACCGCGGGCAGATTTTTTCTTTTACAAATTGGATGATTCCAGATGTTGCGTTGCCATGTTGACCACTCACGTGGATGACTTGCTCTACAGCCACTTTCCGGAGGCGAAGGAGATCACGGACGCTCTTTTGGGTGGTTTGGAAGAGAGCAACGTCAGGTACGGAAAGGCTTTTGGAGAAGAAGACGGCGTCCCGACGATTCTTGTCAAGGACCATGCAAGAGCCATTCGCCGCGTTCAGATCGATAGTGGTAGGAAACTGGACGATGAATTGAAACCAGATGACATCACCAAGCTTCGATCAGCGGTATAGGCTCGCTGGGTTATAGGTTGCCAGGCAAAGCCGCCCAGATTCGGCCTATCGTGTGAGCTATGTGCAGGCAGGCATCAATGGAGCCGCCGCTGGACTCCTGCATGAATGCTCAAGGTGGTTGGTTTGGCCCACCGACATTTCGAAGATGCGGTATTCAGGTTTCCCCGAAACCTCTTGAAGACCACCGACTGGAGAAACGTCGGCATTATCACTGATCACGGTGACAGACGCATCTTTCTGCAATGAGCCACGTTTCAAGTCACAGCAGGTTAGGACACATCTCTTGGCCAATGTGAACCAGATGAAGGATGAAAGCGCTTATACATCTACCATGTGTTGCCGCTAGTTTTTTGTCGACGACCAATTATATAAGAGCGTATGCCGCTGGACCCTGCAAGGAGAAACGTGCTCGTTGCAATCAGGAATCAATAGTGGAGACAAGATCAGATGATCAGAGCCTTAACTTATCGCCGAGTCGAAGGGGTATCTTCACAGCAGAAGGGACTGGGAATCCATATGAGATCTCATGTTCTGCGCATGCAGATTTCAGATTGCAGGTCGCTATGCGATCATCTCGAGGCCGAGATTCTGGCAAAGGTGGCAGATTAGAGATTGGGAATCGAGCTTGCAGCAACACGAAGAACTTTGGAATGGATCAAGGCGAGCGTAGGACATCCTCCCGAATGGAGGAGACTCGACGCATACAATGGTCAGTGACGCACTTACCAAAAGCATGAATCCCGATTTGTTGTTGAGCGTGATTCGCTCACGCGTGTACCTAGACACCTGGTTAGGGTGTAGAGATGCGCAGCAAAACTCGGAAAGACTCGAAGAACAGGTTGAGTGTGAATTTTCCCTTGGTGATGGATTGTTGAAGCCCAGTTCTTTCATGAGTTCTTTCTGTCGCCATTTTGGGTTTCAGGGCCGTTGAGCCTATCGTACTTCGCGCGCGTACCGAAAACGCAGTTGGGCAGGGCAAGCTGGTGCATTTTCACACGCGCGTGCACACATATATGAATATAGATAAATAACAAATATACATATGTATACGCTTTTACCGTGCTTGGGGGAGCGCGCGTGGAACAACGTTTTCCCGAATGCGTAGCGAAGGGCTCTCGTTTAATTCTGGGGGTCTGGGGGTAGAGCCTTGTTTGCGACGGGTTGTCTCAGCGTTCGCAACCGTTCGCGGTAGGGCACTATAAGGCGCTGCCATTGGGAGGAGCTTTTGGAAAGGGGCTCGGATGGAAACGCGACGCGTCAGATTTGTGTGAAATAGCGAGGAATCGTGTGGATTTGTAAGATGTTGAAGTGTGGAGGATGATTTCACTGCGCAGGCGCAGCGTTTTGTGAGGTCGACAGGTTTCTGCGTAGTTACATTGGGATTAGCGTCTGGAGAGTTGTGTTTTTGGGGTGTTGGATGTGGCTGCGCCATTCGGTTTTGGCGTTTCAGGGTGTTGCATCGAAGCTCTGTTTTCGCGACAAGCTGAAATGGCGATTTTGGTGGATGGGAGTGTGCTACGGGTCGAAATCATTCCAAACGTGTGGTGTCGTGCAAATTTTGTTGAGGCTCACATGATATGATGTAGTCACTTTTCGTGGCAGGCGCAGTACTTTGCGCGGGTTTTGAGGTATGGAGGCGCGATTTTCGTGGCAGGCGCAGGGGATCGTGAGGTTGCGAGGTGTGACAAAGGTGACATTTCGTGGCCCGTGGCCGGCAGTACTTTGCGCGCGTTAGATGTGTGGACGCGGAAAGTTTCGTGGCAGGCGCAGGGATCTGTGAGGTTGTGAGTTGTGGTGGAGGTGAATGTCGTTGTGACATTGGGATTGGCGTGCGAGCGGGCGTTGTTTAAGCGGCTGGAATCGCGAAACTGCTTGGCAGGGCTGCTTGATGTGTGTGCTCCGATGGAGCTTCCCGCTGGACTTTTGGAGGAAGCCTCGTGCGACACGCTCGTTTGCAGACTTTGACATGGTTTTTGAGGAAGTCTCGCGCGAAACGCTCGTACGAAACGCTCGTCTTGCAGACTCGAAGCGTGACTCGTGGAGGAAGTCTCGTGCGAAATGCTTGTTTAGAGACTGTACGCGCGCCCTTTTGGAGGAAGTTTCGTACGAAACGCTCGTTTTGCAGACTCGTGGCTCGAAGCCTCGCCTGTGCCCTGCTGCGGATTTGCGCGGCCTTGGTGGAAAGTGCGTTTGGGTGGCGCCGTGTGACTGGCAAGCGCGAAACTTGCTGGTGTAAACCCAGCGTGTCGCTGGTGAGCGGGATGATTGGTGACATCATGTGATTTATGTTTGCTTCTTGCCAGTGGCGGACCGTGTGGCGAAATTACGCGTGTGATGTCGCAGTGCTATGCGGATTTGCGCGGTGGGAAGTGCGTTGGTGTGGCGCCGTGACATTGGGGAGTGCGAAACATGCTAGTGTAAACGCGGCGTGTCGCTCTAGTATGTGGCGGACCGTGTGGCGAAAACTCTGTTCGTGATGCCGCAGTGCCATGCGGATTGGCGCGGCCTCGGTGGAAATTGCATTTGCGAGAACCGTGCCACTGGGGAGGGCGAAACATGCTGGTGTAAACGCGGCGTGTCGCTGGTGAGTGATAAGTGTCCCACAAGAGTGTCCTACAAGAGTGTCCCAAAAGAGTGCCCCACAAGAGTTTCCTGCAAGAGTGTCATTTGGACATATGTAGTTTTTCGAACGTTTTTGCGTTCGGGTTCGTGGGTTCTATCTTGTTTCTATCCTGTGCGTCTCCCCACTTGCTTGCCTGTTTGGCGTTTTGTTCGGCCCGCTCGCGGTCACTAGAAACTCTCATGGACTATTTGTGAGTTAGCTGTTTCATTTTTTGTCTCAGGTGCTTCTGTTTTTAGAATTAGTTGGTATCTGGGGTCTATGCCGGTGTAATTGGTGTAATTTTGGTATTTGGCTGGGATGTGCTTTAAGCTTTTGTTGGTTCGAGGTCGAAGCAGTTGCTGATTATGCCCGTGCTGTAGTAGAGATGCCAGAAATTTTGACGGAAGAGGAGGACCAATGAAATCATTCTGGCATGAAGAGTTGAGCTGCCAATTCAACTTGTGTTCCGTTAGTATCACTTGACATCCCGCCAGGAAAGATTGGTAGATGAAACCTTGCATCACTTGCAGAGAACGCATCGGACTTTGAGACCTGTGGAAGGCTGACGCTTGGACATATCTCTTTGCAGTCCTTTTTGGTTCTGTTGGTGCCCTGTGGGACAGGCAGAGCCGCTTCAATTGGAGATGTGACACCCTTGGATTTCCGACACATTCTTGAACGGGCCCACATGGTTCAAATCGTCTAAGAGAAATCGAGTTAAACAAAACGAAGAGTACAACCGTACGTCTCATGCTTTATAGAAAACGGTCGACAACCTTTGCCTTTGCTGGTCTCACGGAGAATTCCGACAGGTCGTGACTGTGGACATGCAGGGCTATGAGCTGCAGCCAGATGGAAGCCGTGGCAATCCACTGGAGATTGGATCAGCACCTCGCCCAGAATTGTCAGCTGTCCGACATGCAACATTTGGTGCCAAGCTCCCACTGCAAACAGCCATAGGTCCGTACTGTAGGTGTTTAGTATTCGCCTGAGAGTAGATTAAGTGATATGAAAGTGTCGAAGAATCATGTGTTGTACCGACAAGGCCACTGGCCTGGACATCGAGTTGGGCTCCGGTGCTTTCTCAAGACAGGTCCAAGTCGTACATTGCAACGTATCATTTCAGTAGCCTTTTTTGCATATTTTGCCAGCATCGAGGTGCTTCGCTTGTGTCAGGTGGAGGCCAATCTCGAAGGAATTCAAGTCGGTGAGTCGCGAGATGTGCAGGCATCCCTCACGGCGTTTATAAATCTATTTCTTCCGCATGTGTTTGGTGGTATTGTTAGCAGAGTGTGCTACAACGTCACATGGCATCACGCTGATAGGGTGGGCTCCACATGTCATATGCGCTATTTGCTGCAAACTCTTCAAATTCCACATGTTTGTTCGGTATCGGCAAGTTATTTATTTGAGAATGAATGAACACAACTGTTCAACATGTTGTCTCTTTACATGTAAAAGACATATATCTATTGTAGAAAGATGCTTAAGTGTTTGCCCTTTATCTTTTGTCGAAGCATGTAATTTCATTCGGACAATAGAGTGCAACCGATGTTATTGTGTTTTTACATGCAAAAAGGCTTTTTGACGTTCCAACACACTCATTTCTTGTAGCATCTCTTGTATGTGGATGTAAGTAGTAGAGAAGCGCCAGGATCCTCATACACAGCCCTAACAACCTGTGTAAGGTTGAGGCGTAGAAAACCATCACGACAATCCCCGAACAACTGGTACCACTCAGACTCACAAACCACCTGTAGAGCTAATCACCTCAAAACATAAACTACGAACTGGAAGGAAGGCCCTATTTCTTCAAATCCCTTTGGCCCTTGTGGATACAAATATATAAAAGAGCGCTCCCGCTGCAGTTGAAGGAAGCACGTTCAGCCCCTTGCTGAAATGCATGACAAGATTGATTGTTTGGATTCTCAGGTCACCCTGGGTCAACGAGCTGGTGGTCTTGGCGGGTGCAATCCTACGGTCTTTGTTTTTTGTGATTTGAAGATTAATTTATTATCTTTACTTTTTTCTGAAAAAGGTCGGTCAAACTCCTTGGAGAATTCTTCAGCTTCTTGTTGGCAGTCTGTTTTGAGTCTTGAAGGTCATCAATCATTTGCGCCGTCACTTGCCAAGCGCTTCAGGACATGCTAATATACGTGACTGGTCCCCTGTACTTCTTACCCATCTTGATGTATTGGTGACTGGCGCCTTGCGAAAAGAGGCGCTCAGTTCTGCATGAACAGCCTCATAGAAGCGTAAGTTGCAAATTAAAGGGTTTGTGTTACTCTTGACATCTCTTGAAACAGAGCTGTACATCCATGTTTCGCTTGCGCTACTAGCCTGCAAAGGAGCAACAGCTTCCTGAACTATCAGATGAGTTTGCCAAAGTTGTAAAGCGCCAAGACCTCTTCAAGCAGGCCTTGCGGCCCAGATGCGACACAGTCAGCAACATCCATGCCCATTTCCGTTGACAACTATATTGCAAGCTGGCGACCATGGTGTCCGTAGAAAGGCTGGTACTGCAGAAGGCATACCAGAGGAAGAAGAAGGGGTGGCAGAGGCACGCAGAAAGAGCATGGTGCTACTGTCAAACTGCAGCATCCTGACAAGACATCCCCGTAGCACATTCTGCTATACTAGCAGATTCTGTTATACTTCTGCAGAGCTCTCTTTCCGAGAAGGACTTTTCTTCTTTTCAACAAGGCTATATTTCGCCAAACAGAGGACAAGAGAAAGACAGAACCACACGACTGGAGATAGTGGCAGCAGCGGCCAATGAACACCTAAAGAAAGACAACAAGAAGACAGTAGAACATGAGGAGGACAGGACCCAACAGATTGCAAAAGGAAGAGAGGGAGGAGGTGATTTGGACAGGGCTCGCCGGCGGCGGCCTGAGACAAAAGAACCCCGCAAGAAGAGGAAAACAGGACAAGGAGAGGACATCGGCTTCTGGGTTGCTTTGTGTTGTCTTGCTAATGATTGCTAATGTCTCACTGCTTTGCTCACTGCTCGCACGTTGTCATGTTTATATGTTGACAAGCTGCCAAGTGGCCATGCTGCGGTACTGCGGTCTGGCTTGTCGGCTGACACTTTCCCACTAGGTGCCACACAAGGCGTGCGCTTTGGCGCTTTGTGTCTTCTCGCCTGGGGACGGTCCTTCGCTTGCGTGTGCATGCTGTCATGGTGTCATGCCTGCACGCTGCCATTTGGACACCAGAAGGACAACAGGGGAACAACAAGAGCACAAGAAGAGGAAAAGCCTAAGGACAAGCTGGTGGCAACAAGTGGACAAGAGGCAGACAACGGGACGGCAAGAAGAAGACAAGCGGAGGGAAAAGCGAGAGAAAAAAGGACAACAGGAGGACAACACCGGCAGCTAGAGACTGCGGCCAGCTTCTTTTTTCCTAAGAGACGAACCCAACTCCTCTCCTGTTGTTCTCCTCTTGGCGTGCTTCCCTCATGTTGTCCTGTTGTCGTTTTGGTGTTGTCCGGTCGCAGTTTGTCCTTCTTTTGTGTCCTCTTGGTGTGTTCGTTGTTTTCCTTCCCTCATCCTTTGTCCTCTGTTGTCCTCCTCATGTTCTCCTTTCATATTTCTGTCGTCCTGCTGCTGTGGTGCTGTTTACGTCTACGTTGCTTTCCGAGGCAGGGGCTGGGGCTGGGGCCGCCCACCACCACAACAACAATTCTTGCCGACTAAGCTGGTTGGGGTCTATGTTGGTACATTTGTTACTTGTTTCTACTGATACTGATGCCGGGGGTTTTGGCCAGGAGATCATCGTTTGTTGCCTTCTGAAGCTTTCATGTGTCCCAAATGGAAACGAGGAATTACAAGTTACGGTCGGTGCCAGAACGAGAAAGTAAAGAATGAAAGTAAAAGGATAAACGTTTTTGTCGAAAACCCTTCCAGAGCTTCACGATGGCGGACCTGCGGGCAGAGATTGTGCAAGAAGTGCGCCAAGCGGCTCAGACACAGGCAAGACAGGTTCATACTTGTGCTGTGTGTTTGCAGCAGCAAAGGCTTCTTGTTGCCGTTCTCCGGACTTTGTTTCAGCAGAGTGTAGAAGTGTACTTGCTAGACATGCAATCCTAGGGTCCTAGAGTGTGACCTCAACCTAAATCTCTTTCCAGCTTTGTTTATGCGACTTCCTTCCAGCGTGCATGTAGGTGTAGTCAAATTATATATGCTTTTTGAAGTCACATTGTAGTCTCTTTTACATTCTGTTCGTTGTTTCATGTTGTTTCATGTTGTTTCTGTTCGTTCAGTTTCAGTTCTTTCAGCCTCGTTGAGTCCAATAGCAACGTCGATGCCCAGCTTCGATCACATTTGCGCCAAGCTATTAAGGCGTGAAGGATACATCGTGTATGCTGTGTATTTTGTATATGTGTGTTTTTTTCTGAAGGATTTTGTTTTGTTTCAATCAGTTCTGATCAGTTCTTTTCTTCATCCTCAAATCTCGCTACCTCCAGCACAAATCAAGCATCCAGGTGAGATGCCACTGGGCCGAGCTGGGTTCGCAAGAAGCTGTACTAGAAGAGGTGAAGTTGTGTTTTCATGGTCATCGTGACTTTTGTGACTTAGTGTTCAAAGGAAGGACATTTGGAGAAGTCAGATTGAGTGGAATTGAGTGGAAACTGCTCGGAGAAATCTAAACTAAAGGTACTTGACCTTGAAAGGAGCTGTTCGTGAGGGTCCGCTTCGTGGCTGAGCGTGAGGCCACAATCAGAGCTTGCATCGGAGTGTTTGGATCTTCGGCATTTGCAGAATTTGTGTGATGTACACTCCAGACAATCTAACGGGGCAATCCTCTCCCAACGCGGACTTGACATGGAACAAGGGAACCGAGCAACTCCTGGTAAATTCAATGCCACTTTCTGAGTCTGGCTGGGTGTTTGGATCAAAGAGCCTGCAGACTAGCAGCTAGCACAAAACATTAGCCACAAAAAGACCCGGTAAATTAACAAAGACCACCCCCAGGAAACTAGCAGCCAAGAAAAATTAACACTGTACTGCACTCTGTTGTTGGCAAAGGATGCACTAAATTCCCTATTTTGCACGGTGGCCTGCGACAGAATGATATCCACATGTCACATGCCTCTGGAATCAAGGATGCTAGTTTGACTCACCGGTAGCTCGGGAAATCGATTGAACATGAGGACTTGAGTGCAACAGGGATGCAACTGTTGAAGGGCACAAGAACATGAGGCACGAAGAAAGGAGCAACACGACACTGCGGAAATGTTGGGTTTCACCGGTTTCCACAACCTCCATCTAAAACTTGATATTATTGTATAAATATATATATATATATTTTTGTAGATTCCCCACACTGGAAGCGTCGCCCTTCCCTCACCTATCACTTCCACCCACCAAGCGCTCCCGGGCGCGTCTTTCTCACACCGCAGCCTCCGAGGGTCGTCCACGACCAAGGGCGAACGGCCGTCCACGGCCATCCAAGCCCCCTGACTTGAGCCCCTTTTCACGGGCACCAACACATGACACTCGGATGAGCGTCACCTCTCATGTGACAGCGTACCCTTCAAAGTCCAGGTTGCAAGGTTTGGCCACTGAAATCACACTCCTAAAAAAATTCTTTTGTCTTGACAAACGGGCTAAAAGTTGGAATTAACGCAGTACCATTGTACTCTATCATGCGTAGGGCGCACACAGATGAGGTGATTGACGAGTCTTTGCATCATGTCGAAGACACACCTGTCTGGTAATCTTGGAGATTACATCCCTGACAGAAGGTGCACGCTTGGTCACCTGGAGAGGTTGTGGTGCTTTGCATCCAGGTCTGACGCAGTCGACGATCCGATCTCTGTTTGAGAATCTCATCCACATCCCTGAGGAGACACTTGCCATTCCTGAGAAAAGTTCTAAGGATATGCCATTCGGGCAGCACGTTGCACCCATTTAGTTATTATCCCTTCCCTTAGGCGATCCTTGATCACCAGTGCTTCAAGGAGTTTCCTATACTCACTACACTGGGGAACAGTCGTCTTTTGGAGAAGGTCGTAAAGGCTCTTGCAGTCAACTACGGCATATGCCGGAGGAAGCTGAGGTAAAGTCTCTGTTGGCTTGTTCCAAACAGTCGAAGGATCGATCATCCAATTCCAATGTATATAATCGGATCCAACTCACCTGGTCCAGAGCACCTGAGAGAGCATATGTCTCTGACGCCAGGGTGCTAGCTACCACACGGGCGATCTTTTTGGTGCACCATACTATAGGACTTACCTTTGAACCGTGGTTGTCATCGACCCCCGGGGGTTGTGGCGAGGATGAAAGTTCCTCTCTGGGAGTGGGCTTTGTCCCTCGAGGCAAACGCAGCATCGGGAAATGAAAGAAACCGAGCTTGCTCTGTTGGCATGGATTGGATTCTAATTTCTACATCGGCATGTTTCTTTGCATCTTCTAATAGCCTATTCGCTATCAAGAGATCTCCATTAGTCGCATGTGGTATCTTTGCCTGCAACAAGCTGAGTTGACGCGACAGGTCTGGCCTTGTGTTCGATGCAGCATACTGAAGGCTACCTATCAAGCCTCTTAGCGGTTGGATTTCTTTATTGTTGGCTGCGTTCTGTGGTTCTTTGCGACGTTCTCGGGGAATCTAAATTCCACTGATATCTTTGATACATTCGGTTTTGTTGAGGCGGATGTCACCGTTGCTATCTTGGTTTACTTGAATGCCAGTGAACGCAAAAGACCGTGAACCAAAAGGAAATCGGGCCTCGAGCTGATCAATGGCTTTAGCAAAAAGAGCATCACCCCCACCCAGGCCATCATCTACATGGACACCTAAAATGCCGTGTATACCGCAAGCATCCTTAGGATCTTGATTGATTGTGGACTTTCCGTTTGGGAAGTACAAACAGGCACGGGTCCAATGGAGATACTATAAGGCCAAGGCCGAGGAGGGCGGTCTTCAGCTCTTGGTACCACAAGAGCGGTGCATTCACCAATCCGTATGCACTTTTGAGCAGCTCTAAGGTCCCATCATCCTTAAGATTCAGACGTTGCCTTAGTCCTGGAGGAGGCTCGACACCTAAGACCCTTGAGTCTTGACGGCTACCCCTCAAAAAGGCGTGGAAATATCGAAAGATCTGACCTCCCACCTGTGACTTGCGATGACCTGGAGTGCTAGCATACGGGTATCCTTTCCCAACGTGGGGGAGTCACGGGGTAGACTGTCGATTGCGGGATCCTCGAATCCCATAATGACGAGTCTGGCTTTAGCCTTACGGCTCAGTCCTGTCGAGGCGGCCTCTATGTCATCGAGCGGTTTCCATGTCAGAACCCATCTTGACCTGAGGAGTTGCCCCTCAGGTATCTTGTGGCGCAAAATGCGACGAACCGTATCTGTTGCAAGTTCTTCTGGCGTTAAGTCTTTGATCTTTACTTCTACTCTCTGACGTTTCGCTGCTGAAGCTAGGAACAGTTCCTGTTCACGTTGGGATTTCCTGAGGCATTGCTTCACTTCGGCTTCAGTCAAGAGAATTTCACAAACCTTCTTCGGATATGTGATGAGTTTCGTGACTTCCTACGGAAGTCATTTTGGTTGGATCGATGTCAAAAACAGACTGACCGGTCCATATCTCGGCAAGAGTTCGATGACTTTCCGGATTGTTTTCCCATGTTTCATGTATCTTGAACCAATCACCAGTTCTATACCTTCCAGTTGTCCATCGGTCGGGAAGAATGGCGGTATGGGGTACAGGACACGATGGATCTGGACGAGGATTAAACAGTCGAATTCTTGGGATGTTGTGAACACGAATCAAAAAATTCCCATGAATCTTCCACGTATCGAAATCAATTGAGTCGACCATGAGTTCATCATCACTTTCAGGTGGAATGGGAACCAGGGATGCGTCTGGCATCAGAGTTTCAGGATTATTCGGTGTTGTGGGAAGCTCCAAGTCTGGTTCTGTGTCAGGTTGAGGTGCAATGCCTACCGAAGCTGGCCTTGGTCTCTCTCCTTTGGTTGGCTCGGACTGATTGCCTGCAATCTGAGGGTCCGGCTGTCTGAACGATGCGCTGTCAGGACTTGGGGCTGAAAAGGATTCTGTTGGTCTTTGACCTGACTGTTGAAACAAATCCTGATATTGAAAAACACCAGACCCTTGGATTGGCGACGACCCCAGTTCTTGAATGCTCCTGGCCACAAGTTGTTCATGATTAGATAATAGTCGAACATGTTCAAGGGCAATTCGGATCAACCTGGTCATGTGAGATACCCATATGGCATTTTGCTCTACCATCAAAACTCTTGCGGGGCCATGCCACCTACCTTCTTCACTTTTGGAATCCTTCCACACCGTGAACCAGTCGCCAAGGAAAATTTCAAACGATGGGGTCTTGAACGTGCATGTTGGGCCCGTCGGAGCGCTGAACACGCACATGAGCGATACGGGCTGCTTCCCGCGTCAGCATTTGGCGTTGGTCCCTTCAGTCCCATCCCCATCGATGAAACCTGTGGCATCGTCAGGCAAGGTGTCAATGACACTTCCGGGCAGACGGCGGCGGTTTCCAAGCACTAGGGTCTCTGGTGAGTATCCGGCGTGACGCGACAGTGCGTTCTTGGCATTGCAAAGCTCGATCAAAGCCCTTTCAAAGGTGTCTCCATCCAAAATAGGTTGATCCCCATGAAATTTGGTTAACATGGTTTTCAGAATGGCACCGTGTCGTTCTGCTCTTCCTAGTTGCCAGTGGGCTCTGGCCGGAATGAGATATGCATGAATGTCATGTTCTTTCAGGAAATCTCCAAACACTGAGCTGTTAGCTTCACCACAGCTATCATACATGAAGGACTTGGGAGGTCCAGCCCAACGAATCCAGGCGTCCTTGAAACAGGCTATCAAGCTTTTTGAAGTTCCCTGATGGAATGGCACGGCAATGTGAAAATTGGTTGCAGAATCGATGAAATGATAAAACCCAAACGACAAACCTTGAGGTGACTTCCATTCAGCCGCATCAAAAGAAACCATGTCCTTGAATTCTTTTGGAGTTGTCAGATGGGCCGGCCGAGCTATCTTCGGCGCTTGCTGTTCATGGCAAACATCGCGCTGGAAGTCCTGGAGGGCCTGAATCACAGTCTCGGACCAACCTTCACTCTGAAGAGCAGCTTTCATTTGGGCATGTCCTGGATGTCCTAGATTCTTATGGATCTTTTGGATCATTGCTTGCAACTTGTCGGGCATTAATGCTCGGAACAGAGGACCATGACGCAGTCGGTGGGACTCAGGGAGTACTCTATCGGCATTAGGTGACGGTGGCTCTTTGGTCGATGGTGTCGCTTCTGACTCTGGCTGGTTCAGAGACGATTCCGTCTTTGACTGTGCGGTCGCTGAGATACAAGCTCATCCGGAGCCTGTTCATCTGGTTCTTTTGAAGCCTAATAACCGGGTAGGTGTACCACCACGAATTTGCTGTCGATGCGACAATGCGTTCCATTGTTCCCATTGGGGGCCCACAACAAGCGAGCAACAAGCGAGTGATCATCCCTTTTCTCCCAAAGCTCTTCTGAAGGGCAACACGGTATGGCAGGACTCGGGTGGAATACGAAGATGGTTGATTCCCCTACACACATCAATGCCCCCTATTTTCATGTTCGAAAACAAGTTTGGGAGCTTGGTCACGATGGGCCCTTGAACCCTTGGGGTGACCTGGTCCACATCTTGGAGAATCGCTTGCAGCTGGCTCAACTCTCTGGCAGTCTCTGGGCTGCTGGCACTGGACCCTGACGTGTGAGGTGGTGTTTTCCCTTCAATCCTACGGCGTTTGTTGTCAGGTTCAAGAACCCTAAAAACTTCACACACCTGGTTGGATCTTTGAGGCCCTTTGGTTTGGACACTAGTTTGGATTATTTTTCCCAAACGACGAGCCAAGGTTTGAGTGTACAGTTCAGTGTACCTAGACAATGGAATTCGCCCTAGTCCTGTGGCCGTGCAACTCCCGGCGATCTGCAGATGGTCATGAGACTCACGACGTTGCCACTGCTCCACTGCTCTCTGCATGATGGTTGATGTGGTCAACATCTGCATGCGTTTCCGAGAAAGGCTTCAGGCCGATTGGGGTGTCTGAGGTTGCCCCCAGTGCACATGTCGAACTTCACTTGATGAGTGTAGTGCATAATGAATGACAGTTCACCTTGAAATATCATTTCAGATCGGGAAGGCTGCTCTAGATGAAAATGTGTGTAAGACCCTCGACCAATCTGCAAATGTGTCTTCACGAGCAGTAGCCATGCGAACCCAGCCACTTCCGAAGGTGCTTCACACCTTCAGCGGCTTGGGCTCCGCTACCAGTGTAGATTCCCCACACTGGAAGCGTCGCCCTTCCCTCACCTATCACTTCCACTCACCAAGCACTCCCGGGCGCACCTCTCATGTGACAGCGTACCCTTCACAGTCCAGGTTGCAAGGTTTGGCCACTGAAATCTATATATATATATATGCATAATATTTTACGCATTTAGTGGCTGCTGAAGATGTCACGACAAACACCAAGACGAGGGTAAAGGAAACAAAGGGGACAAATGGCGGATCAGAAGCATAGGAGAAGGACCGTTGTCAAAGATGCCGCAAGGATTGTCAGCAAGGAGGACAAGGAACCAACAACGAACAGTTTGCAAGTAGGATCCAGGCTGCAATTGGTGCCATCCAGCAGGATGGGTGTCAACAAGCCAGCAGCCAAATCTACAATGAAGAAGATGAGCTTTGCATAGGTCCATAAGAAGTTGAAGCTGAAACCAACAATGAGAATGGTGGTACATGTAAAAGGATCGCGGGAAGAAGAAGCTAGATCAGGAAAAGGATGAGATCGAGGTTATTGTGGCTTCTCATTAAGTCCCTCATCAGACTCATCAGGCATCTCAGTCCCCACACAGGGATCGTCCCAAGCCTCGCGCATGTGGGAGTGGGTCTCTTACAACGATATGTAAGGCAAGGGTTTGAGCTGGCCATTGGTCCTGGTCCAGCTGCTTGTGAGGCAAGACGTTGAAATGTGAGAAAAAATTTTCGCTGAAACAGATGAGGGAACAAAATAAAAAGACATTGAAGCGCAGTAAGAGATTGGAGAAGGGCGCACGAGCTGAATAACCTGCAGGAATTGGCCCATAAGATCGTCGAAAGCCAAGATGTGGGAGGGAAGATACTCCATAATACGCACGCCTGGCAATAAAGTGTCATTATGAAGGCAGCAAGCAAAGCCAGTTTAATCAAGAAATTATGATGTGAATAATCAAGAAACTATGATGTGAATATTTATGTGCAACTGCTTTGCAGTTAGGTAGCTTGGGGAGGGTCGGGATCACTCGAAGTAACTTTTCAACGTTTGGCCTCCATGGCTGCGCCATGGCCTTTTTGTGGACATTCACAATTATTCGGGGGTCGCACGCCCAACATTTGTTAGAGGTTTAAAGGACATGTTTATTGTTTTTAGGCAAGGTATGCTTCGTTCAGTTTTCTTTTAAAGGCAGGAAGGATTGTATTTTGCTAACCATGCGACATAAATCTACCCTTCTGGTGTTGTATGTAGCAAGCTTTGGACTACTTCAGAACAGAGGTAGAAGCATTTGTAGGAGGAGAACACAAACCAAAGTTGACGTAGACATTTTCACCTGTGGGAAATGGTAAGTTTCAACTTGTGGTGAAGTGGTGGTGAGTTTGTGAGTTGGTAGGTCAATTCTCCCACAAGCGCACCTCAACATCAATAACTAATCTCCCCTCGGCCTGCATCCAAAGCCCCTGCTCCTTTGTTTATCATGCTCCTCATCCAGCCAAAACATATCCATACCCCGAAGGCTCAACATGTAGTTTCTGGTCCACTTTGGATGCCGTGAGTAAAGCTTCACAGTGAGACTTGCTTTTCAGCTCTTCACGGTTTTCGAACCCAGGGTCTCATGTCTTACATTGACATGGACGCAGTGGATCGACAAGCCTGGGACAAGCAGGTGGCTGAGTTTGTAGTAGCTTCAGTTTTTTTCTATTGAACCTTTTGAAGCTGCTGAGGCTGGGGGAGCCAGATGATGGCGAAAGTTTAAAGCAAGTTGGCAAAGATCCAGCACGAGAGTATCAGGAACTTGAAGAAGAAACATGTAGTTATTTGATTTGTCCATCCCTGTGCTAGCCACTGCAGGATGCCCACACCGTGGTCTTTCGAGAGCATCTTATGAATGAGGCTTTGCGAATGAATATCTTATTCTGGTCCTCGTTGGTCAGGTCAGTCTCTCATTTGTCAGGTCTTGCACTGGCTGCGGCAACAAATGGAAATCGTTGTGGAGGAAGGGCAATGAAGGGCACCTGTGCGGCAAAGAGTGGGACGAAAGGTCAAAGGTACCTCTCTTGACTGGGAAAAATGCAAAGCATTTCCAAGCCTTCCCTGTGGCGGTGCACAATGCCGCATGCTAATACTTTCCTCCTTTGCAAGAAAGTGCTCTCCAAAAAGGTTCCAGTTCTTTGAGACATGTTCTGCTTTGGAAGCTTGACGGGCTTGTTGCAAACGTATGGACCAAGCTTGACAAATGTGTGGATGCGTGATTCGATTGGGCTCAGCCAGAGATGGGACTGCTGTGGGATAGGCTGGAATCAGTGAGCGTGGTGACCTTCGTGGTGCTGTGCAGACTTTGTAAAGCCGTCGAATCAAAGGTGGACATGCTTATTTGATCTTAGCTTCAGTTGCTTCGTTACTCACAGTCTATGTTGTTTCCAAGCTGTTCTGTCAACATAATCCAATCAAACTTTTAAAGGATAGACTCCATTAGAACGCGAGTCCTTTGTTGGGGTTGTTGAGTGCATTGCAAAGTGAACACCTGGAGAGGCATCATGGATTCTCATCGAAGGTCGGCTAGTGAAGGCTGACCAAAGGGTGAGCAACAAGAAAGGCCTACAAAGGCAGAAAGGTCTAAATAAAGAAAAGACAAAGTCAGAACACAAGAAATATAAAAGCAATAAGAATCCCTTGTCTTCCACGAGTGAAAGTCTGAGTATTGCAGGCCGCACTGCTCACAAGTGGTACCGCGCTGTTACTCCTCATGTCCGTCCTCAGGTCATTGTGCTGCACAAAAAGTCCATATGTGATTTTCTTTTAGTGAGTGCACTAAAAGGTCTAAAAAATCGAGGTTAAGCATCCCAGCTGAGGATAGAGACAGCCTCAATGATTGGCAACGAGCCTATGACAACAGGTGCTGAGACTGCTTCTCAAAAAGAGTATTGAGTGAGCGATGCTTGAAATTTGGTTATATATGTATATATAATACATGCTTGAAAACGCATGTCTGTCGGAGTTGCTGGTAAAGCTCTTGCTTGCTGGCTGCCCTTTGCTGTTTGTTGTGCTTCTTCTTTCTGCCATGACCTGGTCCATTCGATTGCAGATTTATGGTGACATCTTTGACCTATATGCACCGGCACGTTGGCGAATGCGTCGAGCAAGCCCACCGGACGCATTTCGAAAAGCAGGCTGGACCGCCTCGGAGCTGTTCAATGAGTTCTTTTTGCATTCATGTGGATGTGAATTGGAACATATTTGTGCAAGCCGACTGCATCGCAGTTCAGATCTCCAATTCTGTCAGCACCACTTCACTCTCAGGGTCCATCACAGGCAAACACCACACAATGCGGCAGCTTGAAAAGGAGACAAACCCTAGCTGACCCAGCCCGAAACAAGAACTGATCCACCTTTATCTCAGCAACGCCCTTATCTGTGCAGAGGCAGCACAAGGTCAAGTGTGAAGTAGCAAACTGCAATTAGTGCGAACACTCAGCGATGCATTCGCACCTGCTATTCGGAGGGAACAGGTCGCAACGTTGCGGATTGCACATCAGGATGGATGACGAACCCATTGCTTGCCAGTCGTCCGCAGCAAAATATGCACCATAATGCAAGTGGATCAGTCTTTTGTCACTTGTTGTGGTATTCTTCGAAACAGTTTTAGTGTGTGTGTGTGTGCCCCTTGTAGTCACAGGGATTCTTTGGAATTGTGAACTGAAGTGTCCTCACTAGGATTCTTTAGAGCAGGGGGGCTGGTTGTTCATGCAAGTACCAGCCCAACGAAGAGGCTTCCATTGAACACTGATATCGGTGGGGACGCTCACCGACGTACCTGTTTGATTTTTACATTTGCTGAGTTGAGCTTGACATTCTGCAGACTTGCACGTTCCGCCGTCACCCTGCTGTCTCGACCTCGACTTGCGCGTTTGGCCCCACTTCCTCTTGAAGACCTCCAGGATCCGGTGGTTCTTACTTGTACTTGTACTCTTAGGAAATGGCACCCTAGGCCGGCGTGTGGCACCGCTGTCAGTTCCGTATGCATATCTATAAGTGTGTGTGTGTGTGTGTTTGTACAAGGGCATGTCTTTTGGACTTTTTGGAGCCTGCTTGTTTGCCCCTTGTGCAGCTGCGCAGCGTCAGTAGCACCTTTGCACAGGACTACTTTCGCCAGCACCAGCTACCGAACCTCACCTGGATGGACAGAGTGCAGGGAACGGGTCTCGTGGATGTATGGGCAAGAAAGCAACGCAGAGAAAGCTGCAAGTTTCAGGTGTGAGGGTTGAACCCTTTTCGACGGGCGTCAGGACCTTCACATGATGACCCACGACCGATCTATTCGTCAGAGACAACCTGCGTGACTTGGGCGTGCTAGTAGTTTTATTTATATACATTCTAATTAAATTCTATATATTGTTTCTACTAGCTTCTTGTTACTACTAGTAAGGCACTTGTTACTAGAAGCGATGCACTTGTTCCTAGTAGCTTCTTGTTTCTACTATGGGTTTGATACGTTTTAAAGCTTTCTCGAGCCGAGCAGGTGCAATGTAGTGTGGGGTATCAGGTGAGACACGAGGTGCTTGCTGCAGTGTCTTCCAAGGTACTATGGTGACGTTGGTGGTCCTCCACGAATTGGAGCCACTTGTCCAATTTCCGTAATGTCTTGGTTGGTCCACAAGAAGGAAAGCTCTTTGATAGTATGGAGCCACATCAAACCAAGCAGCTGCCTGGGCCTAACCTGCTTGGCTCATCTCAAATTCAGGACTCACTTGCCGAGGTCTTGGCCAAGCGCCAGGCGACTCCATTGGCCAACAAAGTGCTTCAGCCGAAGTTGAATCTCGGCAGTAAGGTCACTTGGCAGTGCTTCAGCCGAAGTGTGCTGCTTTTGCCATTTACCGCAAAGTTCTTCGCTCTTGGCTGGAGCGCTTTGCTCCAGGCATTGCGCGGATTTGGTTCGAACTTTGGCGCAAAGTGAACCCAGAGAACTTATGCAGCACTAGAACTTGAGCGAAAAAGCTCACCGGAACATCCAGAAGATTTGAAGCAGCACTGACGTCAAGCGCAGACTTGTTGCTTTGTTTCACATGTCGAAATCCATGTAAAGAACAGGCCGAGCGGTTTTTCGCAGAGTGAAAATGCGGTGCCAGAAGGGCGGTTGTCCAAAAAAAAAGCAGGTTCAGGAAGTCATTGGTTGTGAGGCCAGCGTTTGGTTGTTTGGTTGCAATTGTCCAAACGAGCCTCCAATGATCAGACACTGTGTATATGTGGCGGTCGTGTCAATTCTCACGTGGCCCACGAAGTCAAGGGGAGGTGGCGGGAGTTTCTGGAGAAGGTTTACATACTTTGCAACGGTCAACGGTTACAGGTTGCAAGTGCTCACTAGCGTATCTTGAACTGCCTTAATTGATTCAGTTTGGTCATTGAGTTTCAAGTAGAAAGAGAGAGGCACCTGAGCTGAAGTTTTCACAGGTGTCTTTTGTTCTGGATGCAGAAAACCAGTTATATAGTTTCATCGAACCGCCGGGGCACAAGTTGAGCCGCAGTTTGTGCTCAATTCTAACATAGGAAGTGCGCGCAGTGCTTCTAAGTGACTCCGGCACCCCCTGAACAGCAGAACCGAGAGAAAACAACATATTATGAAGACGACGCGTTGGTGTGAAAAGCCAAAGCAAAACAAACCTACAGCGAAGCTGCATTCGTTTTCCCGCGACTCTGATTCCCATTCTTTGCGCATGAACAGCTAATGGCGGAGGCTTACGCGGAGTTTCTATCGTTTGATTGGGGAGATGAGCGCTGGCGAGCATATTTGAATGGTCTTTATCCACCGCCCAATCAGGACAGGTTCAAATCCCACGGCAAAGAGTTCTCAAAAACATATGGATACAAGAACCGTGTCCATGTGTTTGGGGGGCCCTGGGCGCAATTCAGTCTTGAGGAACAAATTGCAAAGTTCAAAAAGAAGTGGTACAAGAAGTGGCCTGGCACAGACAAGTTTTATCAGTGACTGGTTTGTCAACTTTGTTTCAGATTTGGACTTACCACCGTGGAAATTTTGTTCCTCCTGAGGAACATCGACGTGAGTTTTGATGAAAGCTACGAGCCTGCTCAATCTTGGGAGTCGTGTACAGCCCAGCCGCCCCAAGTGACTTGACCGGATGAATGACACTTGACCTGTTTGGTGTTTGACACTGATTTGGGTCGACCGGAATGCCGGTGGTAGCGTATCTTTGCGTTGCAGGAATATGGACCCTTACCAAAGGGTATCTACCATGATGGCTCCAGGTGGAGCGCTATAGGCTCGTGATACTTTAACTAGAATCCGGCGTTTTGTGTTGTGCACATTTGGGAGCGCCAGGCCAGAAGGCTACCATTTGCTTTGCTGCTTATTGCGTAGCTTTGGTGATGGCTGTGGGCAGCTGGGCAGGCAAGCGTGGGATTCACATTTGTAGCTCCACCAACCTGGCCTAACAGCCCAGACACCAACCTTGAAATGGCATCTCAAGTTCACCAAATACAGGTAGTCAGGTAGTGAAGTGACTGAGGTGTTTGCTTGTAAAACACTTTTCACCACGTCATCAACCGATGGCTCAACCCCATTGTAGAGACAAAGGAAGAAGATATGTTGTAACGGGGTTGCAGTTTTTGTTTGTACCTTGTTGTTGTTGTTGTTGTTGTTGTTGCTGGTGTTGTTGTTGTTGTCGTTGTGGTTGTGGTTGTGGTTGTTGTTGTTGTTGATGGTGGTGGTGGTGGTGGTGTCGTTCACACCAACCTTTTGCGTGAAGCTGCGAATTTGGCAACATAAGCCCAACCCATTTGCACTAAACTTAATGTATATGCATATCAACCTCCCCGGTCTTGTTGCATCTTGGTGTTTTTAGCTGCTTTCTGGGCATGTGTTTTTGGAGTGCCTACTGTTGCTCCAAAGCCTCCAAAACTGTCTTCCAGGGCATGTCCTAAAGTGTTCACAGTTGCCGTCCTGGCGTGTTGGTTGTAGAGAACACTGAGTAAACATCAAACTCAAACTTGAGTTTTGCCATGTATAGCAACCCTCCTCATATGTGTACATGCTTGATGCTTTACTGCTCATTTGGCTCAAGTAAAAGAGGCGCGACCGCAGCTGTTGCCCAACAAATGACTAGAAACTCTTCATGGACAGACCTGGGAGAGAAATTAGTCGAAATGCTGCATAGTCAACGAGAGCAGTGACAGATCTGGGAGACACATGACTTACAAATTTGGGAAACACATGAACAGAAATGCTACATGGCCAGTGGAAATGCGCAGAAATGAGCAGTGACAGACCTGGGGGACAAATGAATGGAAATGCTAGATGGCCAACGGAAAAGGGCGGACACCAGCAGGGACTACATGGCCAGTGGAAAAGGGCGGAGACCACCAGTGGCCATGGACGGCTGGTGTCCGCTGGCCATGTAGCACTTCTATTCATTTGTTTCCCAGGTCTGCCACTGCAGCATTCTATTCATTTGTCTCCCAGGTCTGTCGCTGCTGGTGCCCGCCCCTTTCCCTGACCATGAAGCATTTCTGTTCATGTGTCTCCCAGGTGTGTCACTGCTGGTGTCCGCCCTTTTCCGCTGGCGATGCAACATTTCTATTCATTCCCGGTCTGTCGGCCAGCGGAACATGGCCAGGGGAAAAGGGCGGACACCAGCAGCGACAGACCTGGGAGACAAATGAATAGAAATGCTACATGGCCAACGGACCATGGCGGACACCAGCAGCGACAAGCCTGGGAGACAAATGAATAGAAATGCTGCATGGCCAGCGGAAAAGGGCGGACAGTGCCAGTGACAGACCTGGGAGACAAATGACTAGAAGTGCTACGTGGCCAATGGAAAAGGGCGGACACCAGCAGCGACAGACCTGGGAGACAAATGGATAGAAATGCGGCCAACGGACCATGGCGGACACCAGCAGCGACAAGCCTGGGAGACAAATGAATAGAAATGCTGCATGGCCAGCGGAAAAGGGCGGACACCAGCAGTGACAGACCTGGGAGACAAATGAATAGAAGTGCTACATGGCCAGCGGAAAAGGGCAGACACCAGCACTCACACAAAGGGCGGACACATCGAGAAAGAATTGAGAGCCCCTAGCAGTAAACTGTTTGGTGAATGACACAATACAAAACAAACAACGACATCAAAAACACCAATAGAAATACCGGCGACGAATAGCTGGTGACATCGGAAAGCAACTTGCAGGCGTATTTCCGCCATACCAGGTCACTGTCATTATGGCACCTTGGCGTTTGTTGATGTGCTAAGCAGGTTCTTTCCTTTTTCCTGGGATAGAGAAGAGCGCAGTTCAAGTCATGATTTGTTTGTCGCGGATTGCTCAAAACGCATTGTTTCAGGTGGTTGCGTTCATCCTCGAAATAGTTGCGAAGTGTTTTGATTGCATTTTTGACAGTGACAAGTGTGTGCACTGCTGATGTTTTGTTCAGGTTGGAGTCGGTTTTTGCGTGCTCAGGTTTGGCGTGAAATTTTCAAAAAAGTATATGCACAACGTGCTGGTGGATGATGTCGGAAGCTACCTTATGAGAACCCAGAAGATTTGAATGAGACTGCCAAAGAGGTGCATGAATCACAGGAACGATGCCAATCATGGCGGCCACGTTGATGATGCCGGGGCTCCATACAAAGGACGCTCCACTGTTACTGCTGTCGGTCTTCCCATGCCACACCTCCACCTGCGGCCTCTGCAGGTGCGGCTGTTGGCTGTATTGCCGATGTTTCTCACTGTGGCTGGGCGTATTGTTTTCCATTTGTTGTGAAGACAGGACGCGAAACGGCAGCCAAGGCTCTCCTTAGTTTCGGGCAAATTTGCAAGTTCCACAAGCAGTGCCTTGGCTTGCAAACAATGGTCACATGGTGAAAACTCTGCTAGGCAGTCTTGACTTGACAGTGTGAGGTTGCCTGATTTTGTCCGATCCCCAGATGCAGATGGTATCCCAAAATGTTTGGTTGTTTTGCATCCATGCAGAGTGCGATGTCCCCACTTTTGAACGTGTTTTCTCTCCTTCAGAGCACCTTGGTTCTTTGACCAGGGTTCGACATGGTTCCCTTTGTTCATCCGGCTTTTGTGCGCCCAGATAAGCTTGCCGAGGGAACAGAGCGCATCGCAACCGCCGCAACCGCAGAGTCACGCCACCAAATCGATCACTCGCCGAGCCTCGCAGTGGAGCTCCGAGCTCGTAGCCGTCGTAGTTCGTTTGAAGGGATTGTGTTCGCCTAAGGCTTGAAGAGCTACTAACAAAGGGCATCACTACGACGCTAGTAGCGACCTAAGTAGCTAAGGCGTTCGATTCTTTCTCGCCGTAGCACCAAAGCTTGGGCAGCTCAGTGCCCTCTCTCGTGCGCCGCGGGGCCACAGGGCCACAAGGCCACAGTGCCACAGCTACAGCCGTTTTGGTCCGCTTGGCGCTTCCCGCAGCCATGGGGAAGGCGCTTAATATGGCTCGTTCAGCTATCGGCACAGCGCTGTTTTTGCACAGTTCCTGCTTCCTTCTTCCTTCTTCCTTGCAGCTCCCGTTTTGCTGAAACCATTTTGCGTTGGTTTCCAATGCTGGTTGTTGAGGTCAGAGATTTTTGGTCCCCGCTGGCGACGGCCAAAGCGCGCAAGCAGGCCCGAGGTAGCCAAAGTGTCCACAGCTATGTTTTCAAATTGCAACGCTCACATTTTGTGAGCAAGGTGATGCGAGCGCGAGCCGATGTAGAGGTTGCGTTGGGCCTCATAATGGTGGTGGGAGCGGCTCAGAATCAGACAAACAACTTGTGTAGTTTTTGACGCTTGCCTCCAAGTTCTTCAATCCTGCATCCAAGGCTTTGTTTATGCTGTGCGCGCCCATCACTGTAATTCTATTTTGGAATTTTATGATGATGAGGCCAGAGATGCTGGAAGGTACGGAATGGGTTTGATCTCGGGCTCAAGCTTGTTTTGCCAGGTATATGATGAGCTCATGGACGCAGGAAATTGGAGACATGCACGCCTAAGCACCTGGCCACCTAGTCTCCAATTTGGGAGGACTCTTTTCAGAGGATCGACCACTGCTTGAGCCCGGTGCTGATGAGAGTGTGTTGGGCTGAGAGCGTGGCCGGTGATTCTTACTTCTCTTCCATATTCTGAATTGACTTCTTGCAGCTACGACTGACCGACTGGATGATTGAACCTTTACAAAGAGGACGATATGGTGCAAACCAACCATCCGCTTTCGTTCTGCATGTCCTCCAATTTGAAGGAGGTGTTCCTTTATACCACTCAGTCACCTTGTCTAGACGCGCATTCCTGACTTTGTTGAACCGGAGCAGTGCTGGTTTATGAATTCCTGTAGCGTGGGCTTTGCAAAGTTGTGAGCGCACGCGAATCCGATGTTGTAGATCTGGTAGAGTAGATTTGCCTGCGATGAACTTGTGGAGATGCTTTCCAGGCTGAACCTGAAACAATCGGGCTTGAATCCAGACACATCACGCTACCTAACAGACCTACAGCATGTGAGCTGCAAGAAACCGAATGTGTGTTTGTCTCCGGTGGGGCTCGTGTTAGGTGGTAAATGCAAAATATATATATATATATCTTGTCTTGTTTTCCTAAACTGTCTCCTTTACAGAATGGCGCTTTGTGGATTAGATGCAGAAGATCCTTTCCGTAATCCGATTTTTGACCCAGATGCATGAGTTAGGATGCGGAGGAGGATGAGGATGATGATTACATGCCAGGCTGGATCCATGATTCAGCCTTTGGTTCCCCTCAATTCCCAAAACCAATTTCTGCCTTTCTCCAATCATCCTCTAAATCCAACAGAACCTTCAATTTGGACCAACTTCAAGGCCTTCAATTTCAAGGTTCACCAACCTGGTGCGCTGTGGTCATCGAGAACGAACCGCTCGTTGCCCTAGGTTGGATCGGTACCTAGCTTGAGTTCTGGCATCCATGCATAATCCGCTTAATTGTATCGAGCGTGAGCCAGATTCGGCACCCCACGTCTTGTTCCCAGAGCAATCTCAGGGTCACGTACTCACTCAACCTCCGAACTGATATCAACGCGCCCGAGTCCTTCAAGACAAGCTGCTCCATCTGCAGAAAAGGCTCGCAAGTTTGAAGGATATTGCCTTGCTTGAGTGGAGACGTCTTCCATTCGGCGCTATCACCGTGGATGCTAGCTGCTTTGGGCATGGAGCCTGTCTTACTATTCAGCTCAAGGACATATGGGCCACTTCCTCTCGTGTTGGCTTCAGGCTCTTTGGTCCAGACATGTCCAGACAGGATTGATGTGAATTTAAAGCCCTGTTCACACGTGCTCCAAACATGCGAACCCGCTGTGATATAAAAAGAGCCCATTCCACGAGCTCCGTAAGGAATAGGATCGTGTGATTCTCGAAAAGGATCATGAAACCTCCATGGCTGCATGCCCTTTCCACACAGCATGTCTGGTGTCTCACGTGGCCGAGCGCCCCATCTTTCTTGCGATCCACTAGTAGCGTTCTTGCTCCTAGTAGTAAGGCCAAAAGCCCCTAGTACCGTTCTTGCTCCTAGTAGTAAGGCCAGGAGCCCCTACTAGTGTTCTTGCTCCTAGCAGTAAGGCCAGGAGCCCCTAGTAGCGTTCTTGCTCCTAGTAGTAAGGCCAGAAGCCCCTACTAGCGTTCTTGCTCCTAGTAGTAAGGCCAGGAGGTCCTAGTAGCGTTCTTGCTCCTAGTAGTAAGGCCAGGAGCCCCTACTAGTGTTCTTGCTCCTAGCAGTAAGGCCAGGAGCCCCTAGTAGCGTTCTTGCTCCTAGTAGTAGCGTTCTTGCTCCTAGTAGTAAGGCCAGAAGCCCCTACTAGTGTTCTTGCTCCTAGCAGTAAGGCCAGGAGCCCCTAGTAGCGTTCTTGCTCCTAGTAGCAAGGCCAGGAGCCCCTAGTAGCGTTCTTGCTCCTAGTAGTAAGGCCAGAAGCCCCTACTAGTGTTCTTGCTCCTGGCAGTAAGGCCAGGAGCCCCTAGTAGCGTTCTTGCTCCTAGTAGTAAGGCCAGGAGCCCCTAGTAGCGTTCTTGCTCCTAGCAGTAAGGCCAGAAGCCCCTACTAGCGTTCTTGCTCCTAGTAGTAAGGCCAGGAGCCCCTAGTAGCGTTCCTTGCCAATGGATATGGCAAGGTGGGATCCTTCGTAAGATCGGCAGTTGCGGAGGGTATCGCCCTTTGACTTGTGGCGCCTGCAAAGCTGGACGGGCGTCCGTAGGGATTGTCGTGGGCAAAGTCGTCCCATTGCTTCACGCCAATGACACTTTTTTTCCCCACATTGACGTGTATCCGCTCCTCTTTCCTTCCTTCCTCCCGCCCTCCCCCGCCCAACATCCACCAAACAACAACGACCAACAACCTCCACCAACAACAACCACCAACAACACCAACCAACCACCACCAACACCAACCACCAACCACCAACACCAACCAACCACCAACCACCAATTGTCCCCTCCTGTGTTTGGTGAAGTTGTTAACATGTGGGGTCATCCGGTCCTATAATTTGGTTGCCATGTTGCGGCTGAATGCAATCAAGATCAATCAAGCAACTTCTCAGCCCAGCTGTGAATGCAAGCGCAAAGCTTGGGATATGGCCGGGGCGTTGTAAGAATGTCCCATAGTCTAGATTAAAGGTTCTCAAAGAAGACTGGGCTATCTACTTTCTCCTTGAAGGCCTGGAGAATGTGATCACAATCTTCAGGCTGTTCTTGAGGTTCCTCATCGGTACACACGCCCAGGGAGAAAGGGGATGAACCGAATCAAGCTCCACTCTTACCTCTCCGTTGGACATTTACCGTGCATACTAAATGCAGCAACTTTCCGCATCGCAGATGGTGTCGTAGAGGGGTCTGTGGGGTGTTCTTTGGCCCGTTCGGGTGTTTGGCGCATTGACGTGCTGTATATGGCTGCAATGCATCTCGTCCGGCTCGGAGGACCGTCCCTGGCGTCTGACCCCACAGCGTAACTGGAATTTCATGCCACGAATAGTCAGCCTTGAGTCTAGGCAATTGAAGAGTATGAGGACCATGTGGCATGCTCAAGAACTGCAATTCCTTCCTGTGTAAGCCATGGCCGTGCTGCCACGTGCCAGATAGACATGACAGTTGCTTGGAAGAGCTGCAGGCAGGCGTACGGCAATCGAAATCTTTTGGCTCAGTAGATCTTCGCCACCTTTGGCTTCAGCTGCTCTTGTCGGTAGTTGTGGGAGAAGCCCACCCTTTACCGCAACGACTCCACCTACCGGCGCAAAATTACACCGCCGTAGACCCCCAATAGGTGGGACAGCAACGAAGCATTCCCAAGTCCACTTTTTGAGACGTCAACAAGAAGGACGCAACAACCATCAACGGAAAAGGACGGACACCACCAGTGACAGACCTGGGAGACAAATGAACAGAAATGCTGCATCGCCAGCGGAAAAGGGCGGACACCACCCGTGACAGACCTGGGAGACAAATGAATAGAAGTGCTACATGGCCAACGGAAAAGGGCGGACACCACCCGTGACAGACCTGGGAGACAAATGAATAGAAATGCTACATGGCCAACGGACCATGGCGGACACCAGCAGCGACAAACCTGGGAGACAAATGAGTAGAAGTGCTACATGGCCAGCGGAAAAGGGCGGACACCAGCAGCGACGAAAAGGGCGGACACACCTTAAGAAAGAGTTGAGAGCCCGTAACAGTAAACTGCGTGGGGAAAAAGTAGAACTACCTTCTGTAAGGATTGAAAGGGCAGGCTTCATGTCATCCGGTCCGGCTGGTAAAGCTCCATGTCCAAAAAAGAGCACTGCACTCCTGAATTCTCCAACACGCCGTAGCCATTTCCCACCTCTGCGGTTTTTGGAAAAGAGATGAGTTGACCACTCGGAGCGCAATGCTTGGACTTCGACAAAACTACGGGCTTCGTGACAGACAGGTCTTCTCAGTCTAGCTGCCAGTGGTAACCATGTGGGCAAAAGGCTTTTCGCTGACAATGCATGGTGAATTGCCATAGCTGATAAGTCTGTAGCTCCTGACGGCCATTTAGCCCATCGTGTAGATCTGGCCTCCAGGATGAATTATCGCAATGTTAGCAGTTCCCGCTCCGACCGTCACCCCTAGAAGGCAGAGTACATCCCTGAAAATGACAGCAACAGTTGGGTTTCATGAGCGCAACTCTCCTAAACATTGACAACCTGTTTCCCAGCTACAAGAAGGAGTTTGCCGAAAGTACTCATAAACAATATGCCTCCAAAGCTGTCACATTCATCCTGCCGACCTTTATGTTTGCATACTATATATACTTATAAGCACACCACCGTTGAAAGGTAGCGGCTCTTACAAGCGACAAGCATATAAACACTTGCACGTCAAAGGCAACAGTTTCCTCGTAGCAGCGATATTTGCTTTCAATTGTTGGTGCCTTTAAAAGAAAAGCCACTGGTGGTGCACTGATCGCATAGAGCCATGCGAAGACCTACATCCTCGGCCTGTCCAGCGAAGCCAAGTTCTGTGAACCGTTTGCACACCTCCGCCAAGAATGCAAAAACAATTGAAACTCGGGACATCCTTTCTTTTCTTTCAAACACTTCACAAGCAGGGCCACGGGTGCCACATTGGAGTAGATAGGCCGGGTAAGGGCAAGCAACTTGTAGCAAGTAGCTGCACGCGTCTCAACGAAATACCTTTGCAACTCTTGCATTGACTCCAAAAGTTTTGGCTTGTGTCCGCAAGCCTTTGTCAAAGTGAGGACAGGGCTGTTTGCTAAACATGGCATGCAAGAACAGAATAGGCAGCTTTTGTGCCCTCCTGTCTAGAAGCTAGATGAAGCAAGTTTGTGCTTGCTTTGTTAAGGCCAGGCGTGAAGCAAGGTTACCAGGCCGACAGGGGAATGCCTTTTCGAATGTTTGTCATTTCGGCTCGCACAGGCGGTCAAGGCCTGGCTCTACAGCTATGTCGACCCAGAGTCGAAGAGCGCTGGTTTGGCGCCTGGGTTTTGCTTGGAAGACTGGGTGGAGCATGAACGACGGACGTGCCAAGGCAAGCTGTGCTCTATTCTCTGAATTTGGTCAGCTTCACTTCGGAGCCGCAGTCAAGCTGTGGCTGCATTTGATCGCATGGGCGAAAATGCCTTTGCTCTTGCTGAATTTGACTTGAGAATGATCTAGCTGTCGTGTGCACAGCTCCACTTCTTTGCAAAGCCAAAGGCAAGCTTTGCACGCTTTCAAGAAATGGTCGAAAAGGCCCCTGTGGATTTCAGGTGCAGATACTTTTCATCCAAACGGAAGTCAAAGTGGTGCAACAAGTATCAACAAGTCCTAGGTCTGCCTCATGTTGCCCAGGTGTGGAGGCCAGCAAGTGTGTTCGTTCCCTTCCTTGTTGGCTGTTGGCCGGCATGTTCACACGTTTCTTGTTCGTGTGGTTGCCTAAAGGGCGCCCATGCACCGTCCATGCCTTGTTTCGTCGTGCAAGCTTGTGAGATTTTCCTTTACCGACTTTTACTGGGCGGTTTGGACCGGGTGTAACGTCAGCGGCTTTGTCAAAAGTAGGAAACTGTTGATGCGTTTTGTGCGACACATTCGCGAGAGCTTCTTCATGACATCGCGTTGTGGATGCACAAGGGTTATGTAATTTGGGGGTTCGGTGACGGTGGCGAAGTAATTTTGCCAGATATGGCCTGAACAATACGATGTGTGGCCCAGGAGCACAAGCAAGTGTGCAAAAGAGAGCAAAGAGTAGCTATGGAGATAGACGAGTACCGATCGTGTCCACAACAAGACGTCCCCACTTCGCAGGTCAGAAAGCACCATCGCCTCGCCTTCCCCGAATTAAGCTGAGTTGCGTGACTTGAGTTGTCCAATGTGGGCTGAGTTGCATGTTTCCACTTCCCCAACAGTGAGAGCCACACCAACGCCTTCTCCACCGAGCTCCACCTCCGGACTCCGTTCCTCCCCGCTCCAAAACATAAGGCGCAACGACATCAACAGCAGAACCCAGCCTGGAGCTCGCAGATAAGGTTGCATAAGTTAACAGTTCTGGGCCCGCAGCTCCAGCGATTCGCACAAGGCTTCATCATGCTTCATCTAAGTTTATCATTGGCTTTTTGTTTTAAAGCACTACTACCTACAGGTACGCTACAAGCTACTGGACGCAGGACAGCTCACACTTGCATTTGGTTCCTAGATTTTTTTAGCAACTTAATACTCAATTTTATATTTGACATGATTTAACA